CCCAAAACCCCAAAACCCCAAAACCCCGTTTTAAATAAGATCTAAGATAAATAAGATTAATAAATTAAATATATTTAACTGTTATGATAAAATTATTTAAGATATAAAGGAGCAATGGAATAGTTTAATGATTAAGACAACTTATTAGCAAATATCAGCAATTTAAATGAAAAGCGTATTTCCCAGGCTTTTGAGAACATATAGTAAACCTTTGCAGAAAGTGTATAGAGAACATCTACAAAGAGAATCATATCTGTGAATGACGATGATCATTTTAATATTCATATCAACCCTAAGCTCAAAAACTACCATACCATGAAATGGCTTTAAAATAGGTACTTTGACAGAGCAAAAAAGGAATACATTCTGACAGATCATTAAATCAAGGACACTTTGGCAATGGAGACCTTATTCATCAGATTTGATGAGGACAACTCTGGAACCTTAGAGCTTAAGGAACTTATCAAGATGTTCAGAGAAAACTAGATAAATATTAGCGACAAGATCATCAGAGAGCTATTCAGGTTCGCAGACTAGGACCATAGTGGAACACTCACTCTTGAGGAATTCAAGTCGTTGCTTGTCAATGAATAGGCTTTAGACAGTAAGGCTTTATTACAATTTACATTTTACTTTAATGTTTAGGATTTAGAGAGCTAATGATTTAAGAAAGGAAGAAAGCGTAGAGAAAGTCTTCAGAGCCGCTATTTATGAACAGTGATTCAAGGGATGAAAATTAGATTAGATTTTTGCCAACAGATCTCAGAGATATGCTAAAATTATTAATAAACAGAATGTAACATAGTGGCTTGCAAAAGAAATTAGAGAAAGTGTCATGTCTTTAGAATAATATGGCTGTGAAAAATAACTTTAAACCAATGAAGCTGAATAAAGCATTTTTTAGAATGGATGGAGATCAATAAAAGCAGAAAATGAAAAATTTAGATCTGGATGACAGAGTAAACTCTAATGAAGACTTCGAGAAGAACATTAATGGAACTAGGTACTTGACGAAGCATCTCCAAAAGGTGCCAACAAAGAAACTAAATGATATGAGAAGTAGAAATACGAGTGATAGTAATAAGAATCTACATGCCTTGAGGACTCAACTTGAGCCATTGAATGAAAACATTTTCGAATTGATATCATTCACTCAGGAATGCAAAAAGAATGATGAAAGCACAAACAATAGGTTTATCGATAGATACTACAGTATTTAGCAATAATAATAAGAAGAAAACTCTCCCAGAAATAAAGTCATACTTAAAAACGTATAAATGCATAGTCCACTCTATGAGACTCTTTCTAATAAATATAAGGAGAAGCTTAATCTTAAGAAATTTTTACTCTAGATGAAAACTTAAGTTATGGGTACTGCTTAAGATGATGCATCTATTGATGGTACTGATATCAAAAGTTATCGACTTGACAGCATACCTACTCCTAAGCTAGTGAGCATGTCGTCTACTAGGGGTAGTAGGAATACTTCGAAGAAACTTGATAATGTTATAGGTTCCTACTTTAAAGTAAATAGCAAAGTTGACTATATCAAGACAAACAAAGCTGAAAATAATAGATTGAATAACATCACTACAGCCCCAACAAGTCTGAACAATAGTAGATTCTTTGGAAGCCGAAAGACCAGCAAATTAAGTAGTGTAGAAAACTCTTTGTCCCCTTCCAGAAGTTAATTGTCGACTAGGCAATATTTAATAAAGACCACTCAACTTAGAAAAAAATCCTCTAAAGTTAATCTTAATAATGAATATTTTCACTTGTGATCTAGAAAATTAATCTTAATTTCATGAGTAACTACAATCAGGCAATTCTAACATTAAGGGGTTTTGGGGTTTTGGGGTTTTGGGGTTTTGGGGTTTTGGGG